ACCACGTCATACACAAAGATATGGAAAGGCAAAGACAAAAGTGAACAATAACTAAGCACCGCCTCATTAATTTAACAGTCATGGTTGGGGTCATAATTTTTGTGTCTTAAATGACTCGAAATTATTAAAATAATATTATTTTGACAATTTTGATCTATTTGAGTTATAAAAATTATGGTCCTCAAATATTATTCTTAATTTAATGGGCAAATTACAAACACCCCTCTAGGTTTGGTGAAAATACAGATTTCCTTGAGATTTGAGAAATTACATCCCGCCTCCTGAGATTTATATTTTCATAATAAATTGCCCATTGAGGTTTTTACTTTTATATAGATTCCCCCATAATTTCCCTTAATTTGTTATGAAATTTGACCCTCATGGGATAATTTGTAATTTCTCAAACCTCAAGAGAAAATCTGTATTTTTATCAAATCTCGAGGGAGTGTTTGTAATTTGCCCTAATTTAAAAAAATAAAAAATAAAAATAAAAAATCACCGCCTCTAAAAAGATTGTAATTATACAATAAAGGTTAAAGTTAAAGTCAAAGATCAAAGTAAAAGTTGCACATCTGTTCGCCCGTTCTCTTAACTCCAATTACATCTACACATAAAGTTATTAAAATCAGGATATTGGCCTTGTTTGGGTTTGGATAGGGGGTTAAAAGTTGTTTTTTGATTTTTAATTTTTTTTATCATATCATTTTTTTATTTTTTAATATATTTTTAAAAAGTTAAAAAAAAGTAATAAAGTTAGCTTTTAACTAACTTTCAAAAATAATCCTAAGGATTCGTTTGGGGAGTATGTTGACTTTTTGACTTTTTTTGATTATTTTAGCCTGGGGTTAAAAAGTCTGATTTGGAAGGGCTTTTAGCTTTTTGTGAGAGAAATAATGTAATAATTATGAATTGAATGTGATGTTTTTATCTTATTGGATTAAAAAATTTATTTTGTGTTTTGTAACTAAAATAGCCAAAAAATGCCCCAACTTTTGCTTTCCAAAGGAAGCCTAAGTAAGATGGTCGAGAGAAATTAATGAATCGAATAAAATGGTAAACTTTTACTTTTAAGATAAAATAATTTTTTTTATAATAATAATGCATCTTAAATAATTTTAAATTATTAAAAAAATAATATTTAATATAGTACATCTTTGGGCAAATTACACTATTAGTCCCTATAGTTTAGGGCTTGTGTCACTTTAGTCACTGACTTTTTAATTGTGATACATTTGACCATGAATTTTGAATTTTGCTCCAAATACGGATAATTGGACATACCATTGCTTAATTTTAAGGGCAAAATTGTCAATTTGATAAAAAATAAATTAATTTGACAAAAATAAATGTCAAAAAAATATTTTAAAAATTATTTCTACTCACCAAAAATAAAATTATGGAAAATTGATAAAAATTAACAAACATTATGTGATTAATTTTACATGATCATCATCTAAATACATAATAAAAATTACTTTGGTAAAAAAATAATAAATGTTTAAAAGATTTATCAATTTTATATAATTTTATCTTTAGTAGCTAGAAATAATTTTTAAAAATCTAAAAATAATTTTTTGACATTTATTTTTGTCAAATTAATTTATATTTTATCAAATTGATAATTTTGCCATTGAAAAATCTAATAGTGTCTACAATTGTCCTTATTTGGAACAAGATTCAAAATTCAGGATCAAATGTGTCATAATTAAAAAGTTAGGAATCAAAATGACATAAGTACCAAACTATAGGGACCATTAATGTAATTCACCCTACATCTTTTATGTTAATATAAATTAGAAGAAATGTTTGGAAGAAGAGTTTATAATCAAATTACTTATATAAATGTATACAGATATATAACAAATAAATAATAAATTTTTTTTATTTTTTTATTTTTTTTTGGGTAGAATTAGGATCGTAATACCATTCTATACGATTTTATAACAAACATCGTATAGTCACTGGCATCGCAATCACTTTTAAATTTTATGGAATTTAAGATGTTAATTTGATTTGAATTATTTAGCCGATGGTAGAATGGATCAAAATTATGATAACTACGGCAATAAGGAACTACGAACTCATGATTAAGCGATGACATCACCTACCTGATGAATAAGCATGACATCTTTAGGGCACTTTTGGAAGGGGTTAAAAAATTCAGCTTTTTGGCTTAAGTTTTTTGGCTTTTTAATTTTTTTTAGTTAAAAAAATTAAGTTTTTTACCTAAAAGAACTCAATTTTTTTGTTAAAAAAATAATTAAAAATGTCAAAAAGTTAAAAAGTTAACTTTTTACTAATTTTCCAAAACACTACTTAAAAACTTTTGGGATCAAAATGCTCCGGTATACATAAAATTAAGTAAATTTTTTACAAATTTACATAAATAGTTACTCAAATATATATATATATATATATATATAAATTGAACATAAATTTACTTAAATTCATAAAAATTTATGTAATTACATAAATTTATGTCGAATATATGTATTTTTTTAATTTTGTGTATATAGGCTTATTTTGGGAAGTTGGCTTTTAGTCACTTTTTTTGGTTTGTAGCAAAAGTCAAAAGTTGGCTTTTTTGATTTTTTTTTCATTTGGGAAGGTGGTTTTTAGCCGAGGGTGAAATTATAATTTTACCCCTCATGAGTCAAAATAGGCTACATGGGTGAAGTTGTAATATTTTAAACTAAATAGGGGTAGTTTGGTCATTTGATTATGATTTGACATCATAAATAAATATTAATCAAAAAAGTCAAAAGTCACTTTTTACCAACTTCTCAAATCATTTGTCTAAAAAAGCCAAAAACTTAATTAAAAGCTAAAAAATCACTTTTTACCATCTCCTCAAAATAAGTCATTGTGCTCTTTTTGAAACCCTAGTAACTTTGGCGTTTTGTGAGGCTATTCTTTTGGGAAGTGGCCAAAAAGCAAGTTGGGAAATTACATAAGTGCCACCCATGTTTACGTTTTGAGGGCTACAACAAAATATAAATTTCCTAAGTTGAGTGGGGTATTTTAGTCATTTTAGTGTGATGTGACACCAGAAACAACTATTAACCCAAAAAACAAAAAAATATTTTTTTACCAACTTTCTAAATCATTTTCAAAAAAATCAAAAAGCTTAGTAAAAAATTAAAAACTAACTTTTTACTATCTTCTCAAAACATCCCATAGTGTGCAATGCACACACAAGATTTTTCCCTTTAAAAATAGTGTTTTTTTCTTCTCATCAAAACTAGAATGTTATAGTTTTACATTATAAACTCTTTACAAAAAATGAAATTGTTTAAAAAACAATGAAAAATTAATTGCTACTGATTTTTTTTTTTTTTTACCAAACAAGACCTAAATGTCTTTTTCTCCTTTGACAATAGGTTTTGTTTTATTATTTCCCCAAAGCAAATTATGTTAACTCATGCAAGTATTGAATATTAATGAAATTGAAGAGTTTGTGGGAAAGAAATTGAAGACAGTTGACTAATTGTATCCTGGCCATTATTTATTTGTGTATGGTGACATGTAACATCATCTCAATTTTCTTATTTTTTAGGTTCATTGTATGGAACAGATTCACTGCATATTTCATTCCTATAATTTGTTTTGATCATTCTATAGGTTATATGTAGATTTTTTTTTTTGTATAAATAATCAGATTAATGTGAAAATAGTTATATAACTTTATCTGATTTATCAAAAAAAAAAAGGAATATAAATATGATTTTAAAGCATATTATTAAATTTTATTAAAAACAAAGATAATAAAACATAAAACAATAGAGTGGAGCATGTGGTAGTCCCACGAATCCAAACCCCACACGTAAAAGTCTGAATAGAAATTAACTCTTAATTAATTAATTTATTTATACTATCAATTTCAGGTTTGAGTACAACATAAAAGTTGATAATAGCAGACATTTGAATTGGGTAATTCACTTTATCCATTGTTTAAAGATGACACTTTGTGATTAAGGGTTGAATTAGTGATGGAGATACTTCATTATCAGACCTAACGATTGAGATCAAATTTAGACTAAGGCCAAGTTTGACATGTCTTGAAAAAGACAAAAAGTCAAAAAATCATTATCATATTTAAGTCACATCATCTTATTTAAATCACATCACCTCTCTAAGACATCATTTCAAACCCAACCCAACCCAACCCATTAGGGCTGAGCAAGAAATCCGTAAAATCCGTAATTGAAGAGTTTGTGGGAAAGAAATTGAAGACAGTTGACTAATTGTATCCTGGTCATTATTTATTTGTGTATGGTGACATGTAACATCATCTCAATTTTCTTATTTTTTAGGTTCATTGTATGAAACAGACTCCCTGCATATTCCATTCCCATAATTTGTTTTGATCATTCTATAGGTTATATGCAGATTTTTTTTTGGTATAAATAATCAGATTAATGTGAAAATAGTTATATAACTTTATCTGATTTATCAAAAAAAAAAAAAAATGAAATATAAATATGATTTTAAAGCATATTATTAAATTTTATTGAAAACAAAGATAACAAAACATAAAACAATATAGTGGAGCATGTGGTAGTCCCAGGAATCCAAACCCCACACGTAATAGTCTGAATAGAAATTAACTCTTAATTAATTTATTTATTTATACTATCAATTTCAGGTTTGAGTACAACATAAAAGTTGAAAATAGCAGTCATTTGAATTGGGTAATTCACTTTTATCCATTGTTTAAAGATGATACTTTGGGTTGAATTAGTGATTGAGATACTTCATTATCAGACCTAATTTAAGCTAAGTTCAACATAACACAAAAAAGTCAAAAAGTGTCTACCCTATTTAAGTCACATCATCTTATTTAAGTCACATCACCTCTCTATCATATCACTTCAAATCCAACTCATATTTCATAAAAAAATCATGCTAAACAACTCCTTAATCCCTATAAAACACACCTTTCTCTTCCTAAACAACTCCTTAATCCCTATAAACACTACTTTCTCTTCGCCTTCACCTAGTAATTGAAAAATCAATGATAACTTAAGGGTAATATTATTCTAAAATATTTCCCCTTATTTCCATTGCTAGGATAATTTGAGATTCCACAATATAATATATGTACATCCTCTAATACACCCTGTTACAACAATTTCACACACTTTCATCTTCTCTCCCATTCTTCACAGTAAATTTTTTTATTTACACAGAAATTAATCATAAAATCAGATATAATTTTTTCTTACATAACCATGAGATCCATCTCATATAAAAAGGTTGCATTTAATTTTATAATTGATTTTTGTGTTTTAGACAATTCTTATTTTCGGTCCAGTCCACGCAGCTAATGTGCACTTGCACCCATTTGATTGGTGCTTAAGAGAGAAGATCAAGACGCCATCGTTTAGCACCTGCCCACAACAAAGACTCTTACATAACACCGTTAAACACACCGTCACCGTCAGAGTAAGTCGTCACATTCCGGCGACTCGAATCGCTCTCTCTTCTTCTTCTTTCTTCGCTCCGCTCAGCGCCGCCCTCACTCCACCTCTTGCGGCCGGTGCTGACCGGTGGGTCAGACTTTCCGGCGTCCAGAGGGAAGTTCAAGATAGCTTTGCTTCCCCTCATCTTGAAAGCCGCACAGTCATAAGCTCGAGCCGCCTCAACAGCCGCGTCGAACGTCCCCAGCCAGACCCGACACCCTTTTCGGTTCGGATCTCGGATCTCCGCCGCGAACTTGCCCCACGGACGCCTCCGAACCCCTCTGTAATGGCTTCTCTCCGCCTCATCACCATTCAAACCACTCGGACCCGACCCACTCTCATTCGTCTTCAGTTTTTGAACCGAGACATTCAAAGATGGACTTAAATCTGCAATTTCAGGCTTGGATTCGTAATCGGAGAAATCGAGGTCCGGATTCAAGTAAATGAGAGAGGAGTTGGAGTTGGAGTTGGAGTCGGACCCAGAGCCGGAGGAGGAAACTGAAAGGTCCGATTTCTGGGAAGAGAAAATGGGTTTGATGTCCAAGATAGAGTCATGATGATGAGAGGAGTTGGAGAAATTGAGGTTGGTGATGAAGGACTGTGTAGACGTGAATTCTCCGAGGAGGTGTTGGCGTATGCGTTCTAGAACTAACTCGTCGTCTGTCGCCGTCGCCGTCATAGAGAGAGAGAGAGAGAGAGAGAGAGAGAGTTAAATTGGGAGGGAAGGCATGGAAGTGGAAGTGGAAGTGGAAGTGGTGAGGGGATGGTGTTATTGTGGTTGTGCGTATATAAAGGAGGGAGGGAGGCGGGTGTGACTGCCTGTTTGGCTGCTAGGTGTTGAAAATTAATAATTAGGAGTGATTTGAGATATTTTAAATGGGTCTATTTTTTTATTTTTTATAAAAAGGTGGGTAGAAAAGTAAAAAAAATGATTAAAAAAATAGAAATAAAATATTGATAGATGTTAATTGATGTGATCTAAATAAGGTCAAGTTTGGCAACTCTAATATAATCTATCTTTTTATTTTTTTTCCATCATATCACTTCTCTACTTTTCTACATATTTTTTTACAAAAAGATAAAAAATACACTTATTTAACTTATCTCAAACAATCCCAAGTGTATGTAAATAAAAAAAATATACTTTTTTTAATTTATCCCAAACATCTACTTGGATGTACAAGTTAACAACATTTCTTTCTTTTTAGGTAATTAATTTTTTTTTTAAAATTTATTTAATTTAATTTTACTTAATATATTGTGTGGGTAATTTTCTGACCACACTGCCCGCCTAGTAATCAGCTAGAGAGCACCGGCAGAATAGATGGCTTCAACTAACCTGCAACAGAAAGAAAAGGCTCCGGCGGTGGCTTTTCCACCCGAGGGCACTCCGACGATCAAGTCAGTATATCTCTCAAAGATATTCAAGTGCTAAACTCACTACTCAAAGCATAAAACTGCGTACTTTAGACCCACGAGGGTGCCTCTCTTTTATAGTTTACTCAATCCTAGTCCCACTAGAAGCTTGACTTCTATGGACTCCAATTCAGTACTTACTTTGGACTCCTTAAGAGATAAAGATAAACTCCCTAAGAGCTTTATCCTTATCTTGGCTAAGTCCCCTCTTTACTCTAGGACTCTTGTCCCTTATCTTTTATCCATTTATCTCGGATTCCGATATATTCGGAGATAACCTCGGCCCTGCCGAGATAACCTCGGCGTTACAACCTGGAAACGTGGCACCTCGGCTGACACGTCGGCGTCACCTTGCCACGTGTTGGTATTCAGAAAATACATCCCCACAACTGCCCCTAGGTTCTATTAGTTCTATTACCTCGGTATTCTGAGGTGATGGAACCTATATCTTTTTTTTTCTTCCAGTAAATCGGCTTAAAATTTTGATAACCGAGATCATTCATTTCAGGCCGACATGCTTTCCCTAAAAAATCAGGATTTTTAAGGACTTCTCACGCGCATGAGCTGTCATGCACTTCAACCCAACCGTTTTAGCCACGCGTTTGCTTCTTACTGGTCCGTATACGTGACGCGCCTGCTAGCCGCCTTTTTCTTCATGTGCGCCGTTTGACGCCTTCGTTCTTCTAGGCGTATTGATTGCTTTTGCCGCCGTTTCTGTTTAATGAAAAACTTTTCCCTTTTTTCCGTCTCTTCACTTTTGTATCCGATTTCTCTTGCTTTTTCTCTCTCTAAACTCTTTCTTTCAAATCCGCCATTGCTCAAGCTTCTAAAGCTCTGTATCCTTCTCCATTCACCCCTTCCGGCGAGATTTCCACCGATCTTCTGCTCTTGCAACCGTCGTAGGACGTCGGCAAATCCCTTTTCGGCCTCCCTTTTTCTGGTAAACATCTATTTCTTTCTATTCCAGTTCTTGATCTTTCCTGAAATTTTTTGTTTACTACTGCTTTGCTTAAGTAATCAATTTGTAGATCATACATCTGAATGCGTTGATTTTGCTTTTTGCTTATGCCCTGAATACATGTACTGTTCTTAGTGTTTCTTGCACGTCTTGATACTGTTTCCTGGCCTTCAACCTTTTGTATTCTTCATGTTCTTGATAGTCTATCTCTGTTCTTGACTCTGAAACTTCGTATTTGTTTTCTGTTTTTTTGTATCTTTTCCAGATCTGTGCCTTCGATCTTCATCTTCATAGCTTTAGGCTTGGGATTTGTTTGTAGAACCCACGATTTAGGGCAAAACTGAAACATTCCTTACAAATTTCTATACCAGCCCAAACCTAGGTTTTTGCCGAGATCCCAATAACCCCTTTCTTGATACACCCTCTTTCTGAAATCCAATACCTTTAGTTACCCCGATATCATGGGTATGTGGAAACATCGGGTAGACACCCCTTCTAAGCTAGACTCTTTTAGGCAAGAGTTTGAAATCCCAGTCGATGTCAATCTGAGGTTGACAGGGGATGATGACTCCATCATGCCTACAGAAAACTCTATGCCCTTCCCTGTAGTTGCCTTTATAGAGTGTGGACTTCGGCTCCCACTCAATATCCTTTTTCGCGAGATTCTTCATTATTATAAGTTGAACCCCATGCAACTGGCAATTAATTCCTATCAAGTGATCTTTGGTGTCATAGCCTTAGCTAAACGAGAAAGTGCTAGGATCACTTTAGCCGATATTCAGTACTGCTATACCATGTGTGCCCTCAATTTGAAAGAAAAGGGCTACATTTATTACCTTAAGCCGAGGTCCACAGAATTCAAAATCGTAGCCGACCTCCCAGACTTCAACAAGGGGGCTGGAGATGACTATCTCATTACCTCGGGAAATTGGGAATTTGCTCCAGACGAGGACATCCATCTCTGCCCTCTTCCCCGATCAGTTTTAGAGGGCAAGGGTAAGAGCCCAGCATTTCAGCTTTGCCTGCTTTCTTTCAAAGTCTTAAATAATTTATCCGTTTCTGACGTCTCGTTTTTCTTGCAGATGTTCATAAGCCACCGAAAAACTTTCGCCAATCCTACGTTCCCAGCAGGGATCTGAAGAAACTTCTGGACTTGCCAGTCCATAAGAGGAAAACACCTCTTCTTCTCAATTTCATTCTATCGTACAAGTTAACTTTGTCTGACGTTCCCAAAAGGAAGAAAAAAAAATCTTTCTCCTCCCTCTGCAACAACTCTACCAACTGCATCTATATCATGAACAGATCAAGGATCTACATCTGATCCAGCTGATCAGCCATCAACTTCGGCTCCATACTTGGTCCCGATAGCAGAACGAAAACGTCGCTGAAGACTTGTCCTTACTGCCGAGATGGGTCGTCCTAAGCCCGTTGCAAAAGACTTTCTAGCCAACATTCCATCATCCATTGACAAACCACCAACACAAACCCAACCTTCAGCAAAACCAAAAAGAATAAAAAAGGCTCAACCAAAGGCCAAGGTAGCTCAGGTGGAGTCTGAAGACACTCTGCCTATTTCAAAATTGGCTAAGAGTGATAAATCTCAGCCTTCCGCTGGGAAGAGGCGTTTTGAGACCCAGCCATCAGAATCCCAACAAACAAAAAAGCTGAGGTCTTCTTCTGCAACAACTTTGGGATCAAAAAAGCCCGATGTCCCCTGGCCCCCCAAAATCACCCTTGAGGATAAGCCCGTAATGGCAAGTGACAGTGCCGACGATATAAATGTCGGCGTTGCACTCAGTACCGCTTTACTTCTCCCAGGTGACCTGGAGTGGAACGCCAAGTATAGCGAGTATGAGAATTACGCTTTAATGTTACAGCACTCTGTTCAGGTAAACGTCTTTTATTTGGCAATTTTTCTTCTTTCTGTTTTGTACTTTAAGAAACTTTGTACTTTTCACACTTTGAATATTCTTTAATACCTCTATTTTCTTTCAGGCCATCCAGCATGCCCACTCTTTCTCAATGCAGTCTTTTGAGAACAGAGAGAGGCTTGCCGAGATGAAGAAGGAATTTGCCTCCCTCCAGAAGACCAACAAAGGCCTTCAATCAAAAATGAAAAAATTAGAAGACCAAGCCGAGGCCGTAATCAAGGCCCAGACTGATGCCGAGGAAAAGGCTGATGCTACTGAGGCTATCAGGAAGGTGGCCGAGTCCCATAAGAGAGAAGCTGAAGGGAGAATGGCCCAAGCTGAAAAAGAACTTCGGGAGGCCCTGGCCACCAAAGAAGCTGAAATCAAAGATGCCGATGAAAAGGCATACTCACAGGGTATGGCCGACGTTACTGAGGCCTATGAGAAACAAGTGAAGGAGGCATGCAACAAGGGTTTCGCCCTTGGTTGGATGTCCCTTCTTAAAAAGCTTAATGTTCCTGATGACTCTCCGTTGCGGAAGGCCGACGCCATTCCCTTGCCATTTCCTCCAGCCCTGACTCCGAGTGAAGATGTCGGCGAATCTGATGCTGAGGATGAGGCCGAGGAGGAAGATGACGAGGTTTTGATTAGAAAATCAAAAGATGCTGATGGGGCCAAGTCCCCTCCTTAGAATGAGCAAGTTCTAGACTTGACTTAAGATGAGAAAGGTGATTTGGTTTCCACAGAAGCTGTTCCTGAGATTGCCCCAGCTGACATCCCTCCTGAGGTGAAGACTGTTGAAGAAACTCTCCAAGAAATTGATGCCGAGATAGCAGCAGAAAAGGAGGCCGAGGTGGTATCTGATCTTCAAATTCTACAATCTGGAGGAGAGAAGTCTTAGCTTTACGTTTTTCATTTGCTCATTTTTATTTTGTTTCTTCTTTCTTTTGTTTGGAACAATGTATGCTCTCCGATGTGATCTTTTCTTGATGAATGAATATAACTTTTGTTTTCTAAGTGTTTGTACCCTTGTCTTCTCCTTTTTGTTTTTGCATGATTCTATACTTAGAATATTCTGCATATATATAATCTTCCTCCTTCGTGTAACCATCTCGGTGGTGACACACCTCGGCAAGTATTTGTCATGTATATTGCTTACAAATTTCAATACTTTAACTTCACCTTGTAAATTGCTACAAATTTCAACAAGTGAAGATAAACAATAATCTCGGCTTAACTTCAACTTGTAAATTGCTACAAATTTCAACAAGCGTTAAGCATTTGTATCTTCTCTCTGCCCCCAATGTGAACCTAAGTTCCACTTGGGTTCTCATTATTCAGAAACAACATTATGCGTCTTTTATCAATTCATAAGTCTTGGAAAATTCTGCTAAGATTTTATTGATGATGTCGGCAAAAAATAACAAGGAACATCTAATGATAGAAAAATTTCAAATTACAAGTGTTCTAGGGTCTTGGCAATGCTTTGCCTTCATTATCTTCAAGCCGGTATGCTCCATTGCCCAATACCGAAGTAATTCTGTAGGGTCCTTCCCAGTTTGGGCCAAGCTTGCCCTCTCTGGGATCCTTCTTGTTGCCAACAACTTTTCTTAGGACTAGGTCGCCGACTTGAAAATCCCTTGGATTGACCTTCTTATTGTAAGTTCTAGCAAGCTGCTGCTGGTATGCAGTGAGCTGAATTGCAGCTTTCTCCCTTCTTTCTTCTAAGAGATCCAAATCTCGTGCTAGAAGTATACCATTAGTTCCATTCTCTACTCCTTGAGTTCTGATCCCTGGGATGCTGATCTCCAGTGGGATGACTGCTTCTGTGCCGTAAGCCATGGCAAAGGGGGTTTCTCCTGTTGATCTTTTCGGCATAGTCCGATATGTCCAGAGTACATTGGGCAACTCGTCTACCCACTTTCCTTTTGCTGCTTGCAGTCTCTTCTTTATCCCATCCAAAATTACTTTGTTGGATGCTTTTGTCTGCCCATTGCTTTGGGGAAAACTTGGTGTTAAAAAGTAATTCTTTATCTTGAATTTCGCACAGAAGTTCTTGATGAGTTTGCTGTCAAACTGTGTTCCGTTGTCGGCAACTATTGCTCTTGGAATGCCAAATCTGGTGATGATGTTTCTCCATATGAAGTTCTTGACATCCACATCTCGAATTTTGGCAAGAGGCTCTGCTTCTATCCACTTCGTGAAGTAATCTGTAGCCACCAGCAAGTACTTCCTTTGCCCAGTTGCTTGGGGCAGCTGCTCAACAAGGTCCATGCCTCATTGGGCAAATGGCCATGGACTGGAGACAGGATTTAGGTCAGCGGCTGGCTGATGTATCAAAGGTGCGAACCTTTGGCATTGTTCACACTTCTTTACGTAGGCTTCTGCATCTTTTTGCATGTAGGGCCACCAATACCCCTAGGTAATGGCCCTGTGAGCTAGTGATCTGCCCCCAACGTGGCTTCCACAAATCCCTTCATGAATTTCGTATAGAAAATCTTCAACTTGCAAAGGGTGTACGGACCTCAAAAGGGGTCCTGTGAAGGGCCTTCTGTAAAGATGTCCATCCGCTGTCAGACTGAATCTTGCCGACTTCAATCTGATCTTGTGTGCCTCCTTTTGGTCTTCTGGCAGCTTTCCCTCTTTCAGGAATGTAACAATTGCATCCATCCAGCTTGGACCTAAGTCCACACACATTGCTTCCTGCTCTGTGATCGGCTGTTCTATGCTTGGGCTTGACAGATAGTCAATCATTATTGTTCTTGTTTTTCCAGTTTGCATGGAGCTTGCCAAGTTGGCCAACGCGTCGGCATGGTTGTTATCATCTCGGCTGACCTGAGAAAGTCGGCAGTTGCGAAACAAGGCTGCCAGTCTGATGACTTCCTTTGCGTATGCCGACATCCTCTCATCTCGGGTTGCAAACTCTCCTGTTGTTTGATTTACTATAAGTTGTGAATCGCAAAAAATTATTACCTCATCTGCTTTTGCTGCCACTACTAGTTTCAATCCTGCAATCAGTGCTTCGTATTCTGCCTCATTGTTTGAGGCCTTGAACCCCAATCGAATAGACTGTTCCAATATCTCCCTATCAGGAGATATTAACATTACTCCTGCCCTCGCTCCTTGCCGGTTTGAACTCCCATCGACAAACAGGCGAAAGGAGTCGCCGATGTAAATGCTGCAGGGTCTTAGTTTCTCTTTTCCTTGTTCTTTTGTCTTTGGCTGGGCTTCTCCTTGTTTGCTTGGACATCGTTCATCTCGGCTCAACGGAGCTTGATGTTCGATGGATTCCGGTGTGAATTCAGCCACGAAGTCGGCCAAAACTTGGCCCTTAATTGCTGTTCTCGGCCTGAACTCCAGGTCGTATTGGCCCAAGGCCACTGCCCATCTTGCTATTCTTCCAGTTAAGTCTCCTTGTTGTAATAAGGATTTCAGCGGGTGCTCTATTAGCACTATAATCTTGTGTGCTTGAAAGTAATGGTTCAGTTTCTTTGAAGCCATTACTAAGGCTAGGATTAATTTCTCTAGTGGGAGGTATCTTGTTTCTGCATCGGCCAAGGTTTTGCTTACATAGTAAACAGCCTTTTGCTCCCCCTTTTCCTCTCGGATTAGTACTGCACTTACTGCGTGTTCTGAAACGGCTAAGTACAAAAACAGTTCTTCTCCAGGTTCAGGTGTTGAGAGGACTGGAGCCGTGGTCAGATACTTCTTTAGGTCGGCCAAGACGGCCTCACATTCCTCAGTCCATAGGAAGTTTGTGGCTTTCTTTACCAGGTTGAAGAAAGGTTTACATTTGTTTGAGCTTCGGCTTATGAACCTGTTTAGGGCTGTGGCCCTTCCAGTAAGCATCTGAACTTGTTTTGCCGACGTCGGGCTTTTTAGCTCTAGGATGGCCTTGATTTGATTTGGGCTGGCCTCAATGCCCTTTCTTGTTACCAGGTACCCTAAAAATTTACCTGATCCAACTCCAAACACGCACTTCAATGCGTTGAGTCGGAGCCGGTATGTTTAGAGTATCTCAAAGACCTCTTTTAGGTCGGCAAGATGACCCATTGGATCCTTGGTCTTTACGACCATGTCGTCAATGTAGACTTCCACTGTTTGGCCAATCAATTTTTTGAACATCTTGGTTACCAACCTTTGGTAAGTTGCTCCGGCGTTTTTCAACCCAAAAGGCATTACCTTGTAACAATACAGTCCTTTCGGGGTGATAAACGCTGTCTTCTCTTCGTCTGGAGGGTACATGGCTATCTGGTGGTATCCTCTGTAAGCATCCAGGAAGCTCATCCTTTCATGTCCAGATGTGGCGTCTACCAACTGGTCAATCTTGGGTAGAGGAAAGCAGTCTTTGGGACAAGCTTTGTTCAGGCTTGTAAAATCTACGCAGACCCACCATTTACCGTTCTTCTTCTTTACCACTACTGTGTTGGATAGCCATGTCGGGTAATGAACTTCTCGGATGGCCCTGGCCTCCAGAAGTCTGTCCACTTCTTCTTCTACTGCTTCGACGTGCATCAACGTCGGTCTTCTGGCTCGTTGAATCATAGGTTTTGCCGACCTGTCGACATTCAGTCTGTGGCAAGTGACCTCGGGGTCAATGCCAGGCATTTCATAAGGTGTCCAGGCGAACACCTCAATGTTGGCTCTTAAAAAAGTCTCAAACTCTTTTTCCTATTCTTCGGCTAAGCTCGAGCCGATAAGAAAGAAGCGTTCTTCGTCTCTATCCTGGACGAGGATTTTCTTTAGTGCCTCTTCGCTCTTCTCGGCTGGTTCTTTGCCGACGTCTTCTAGGACTTCTACGCCCTCATCTTCAATTTCTGTCTCTTTTGGATCTCGAACGTTGGAAGTAGACTTCATTGCTGCCATGGAGCAATTTTTTGCTTGCAGTTGATCTCCTCTGACTTCTTCAATCCCATGTTCTGTTAGGAACCGCAGTAGTTGATGCAATGTTGAGGGAACTGCCCCCATTGCATGCAACCACGGTCTTCCCAAGATGATGTTATATAGTGAAGGTGTGTCAATCACCATGAATTCTGTCCTGATCTTCTTAGTGCCAGCTTGTACTTCCAAGCTTGTTGCGCCCAGTGACCACGTCGGCGTTCCATTGAAACCGACCATCGGGTTATTGGATTGTTCCAAGTCGTCAGGATGAAGGCCCAGCTCCTTGTAACATCTAACATACATGATGTCACAAGAGCTGCCTTGATCAATCAAGATGCGTTTTACTTGGCACTCCCCAACCTGGAGGGATACTACCAAGGCATCATTATGTGGATGCTGGACCATCTCTAGGTCGGCTTCAGTAAATGCTATCGTCGGTCCCTGGCATTCTTCAGGCCGAGGTCTTCTGTGTCCGACTTGGTTTATGTGCTGTAGGTGTTTCACCATCTGAGTTTCCCCTCGTATGTCGTTTTTGTTCACCTTTGAGTGAATTACATTAACCACCTGTGGTCCTCCTAACTGTGGTTGCTGAGCTGGGAGAGGCGGAGCTGCTGGCGCTTGAGGCAATCTTGCCTGTTCTTCTCTAGTCCTGGCCTCATCAACAAGGTCCCTCAGATGTCCTTGCCTTACCAAGTCTTCTAAGTGCGCTTTCAGGGCCTTGTAACCCTGAGTTGGGTGCCCTTCTTCGTTGTGGTAAGCACAACGTCTACCGACGTTTCTTCCCATAAATTCCTCTGGTGCTCTTGTCGG